CTAATGAGCACACTTTAGACAATGTATATATTAATGTAAATATACAGGAGTCGTGCACCTGTTTATACAGAGGTTCGCGCCCTCTTAATTAAACACAAAATAACTAGGGAGCGCCCCCTAGCGGTATTAATACCATACACACAACACACAATATCAAACTCGATGAAGTGTGACGCAATCGATGTCGTAAGTAGGTCACGTGACCAGTGTGACGTCATCACAATGCAAGCCTCTGATTGGTTTAGAGGTAAGTGGGTGTGGCTTAATCAAAATCTAAGCATCTGATTGGTTGATGAGTAAAGTGGGCGGAGCAAAAACCCTGCCTTTGACAGTGCTTTGTCGCTATAAGGGATCCTTACCTACTATAATTTGCAGCATGCTTAAATTAACAACATGCCAATGTCCTCCAATAATACGTGCAGTGCTTTGGTTTTTAATGTGCCCGAGGGTAAAGTATCAAGGTCCGCGTTGAGCTTATTAAATTCATCTTGCACTAAATCGTGAAACTAGTTGTGAAATAAAAAAGACATCTTAAATTTAATTTAACAAGGGCATTTCAAAAACATTACAAACTCAAAAATTAATTAACACGCTTTTTTAATATGTAAAAGTTACAATGAGTAAAAAACAATGACCTGGATATGTAAAGATCCCCAGAAAGTGTCCAACTTTTTGTAGCGCAAATAATTGGACGCCCAAAGTACCGTGCTCAAAATTGTCTCCTGCAATTTGATCCACCTGGCGGTAAGCGCAGACTCCTTGGCCATTACCCTGAGCTGATTCTTACGCCTTACGTCCATTTTCTCTCCCAACCAGCGGTACTCTTCGAGAGAAATGCCCACGTTGAACATGTTCACTTTGCGCATGCTAGAATTGCCCGGTAGGTACGTGTCGATCACTGCGAAGGCAACCGGTAGGTGGCGCTCAGCCCTATTGATAAAGCGCTGATAGAACCGGTCGATAACGTCCAGGCCGTGAAAATACCGATATTTCATGCCCTGTAGTTTCATCGACGCTATTAGAACGTCGAGATTAGCCATGGTCAGTTCACGAATTTGATCATGGTTGCATTGGTCCCAGAGTTCGGTGGTTTTCCATCGAAAATCTAGTTTATCGCTTGTGGGGCTACATGTGGCTAAAAATATTGTTATTATGTAAATATTCTTTACATACTTAATAGTAATTTAACCATGGGCTTTTATTTAACATTTAACGTATTAATTCATAAATGTTAATATAATTATCGTTTGATAATTAATACTTACCAACACTGAATATTGTTATTATAATGATATAGATTTTCATTTATATTTCATTAATATTGATTTTATAATTGTATTTATTTATATAAATTGTTAGTTAAAACTAATTCTTAGTGTACTTATCTGTAGTTTATATAACTTATATACTTTATTTAAACACTTATTATCACAAAATGCTTTGATTTCTTAATCTTATTGTTGACAGAATTCTGACAAACATAATATTAATTGTAATTGTTTCTACTGAATTAATAATTAATAAACATGGTTAAAATAATTAGTAACATCCAATTTGGAGCTATTTATATTTATTTATATAAAATTTAAGTTTTATAATTAATATTTTTATTCTATACAATAAGTTGTGTAATAATTATTACTAATAAATATAAATAAACGTGATGTAAATAATTGTAACTTAAATGATCTGATGAATGAACAACTTCAATGTTAAACTTATGGAATGAGATTATAAGTACATTTAATCACAAATATAAAAATATCTCAAACAAATCAGTTATAAAAAGCATAACTACTAAAGAATTACTTTATTTATTGTCACAAATAATTGTAATTTAGTTTGTTTTGTAACAAATAGTTTAGATAAAGTATCTTAGTGCATCTCTCTCTCTCTCTCTCTCTCTCTCTCTCTCTCTCTCAAAATAAAAATGAATAATAACTTATTAATAAGTCTTAGATAGTTTAAATTATACAAACAATGTTAAATGAAATAAGATAAAATTTATTATAACATTAAAGTTAATTATTACAAAGTTTTAATTGTATGCTGAGCGTCAATAATTTTTAAAAATAACTTTTTTTATACATTAAAAATTAATTATTTTGTAAGTTAACAATTGCACAGATGCTTTTATGAGTTGATGTATTTAATTAAAATTTAAAAATATAAAAATATTCAAAATCAATAAATTAAAGTAAAATATAACTACTGAAAAATTAATTAATTTATTGTAACAAATAGTTATAATTCAGTTTGTAAAAAGATCCGGGTAACATCAATAATAATTAATAATTATGGTACAATTATTGCAGCAATAATTGTATTATTGCTTTATATTTTTATATAAATAACTTCATATCTGATCTGAAATTTTACCATATGTTTTTAATAATTGCCAAGTGTTTACTTTAAGTAATTAAATAATTAAAACTCGTGTTTAAAAAATTATAAATCTCAATAATTAATTCATTTATTATTGTTATTAAACTAAAATTGTGTCTTGGTTGCGTTGTAACATTAAAATGTTCTACATTATTATCTTAACATTAATTTATTCAGGTAATTCACAAATAATTAAATAACTGCATATAATATAAAATTACTTTACTATAATTAACTATTAGAAAACTATACATTTACATAATAATTAAAGTATTGATTCTAACAATTGTAAGTTAAGTAACCTTTATTACGAGCCTGAGTTTGGGGGCACACGATATACATTGTATATTATACAGCATTCGCGAGTACAGTATATTGAAAGCATTGTATGTTATTTTTGAGATATTCTGACATTTAGTAACTTTGTATCAACTTTTATGTCATTTTGAAATAACTTTAAGACTGGTTGCTATCACCTACAAATCAATGCTTTACTAAAATAATCATAATTAAAACTAATTAATACAATCAAAACAAATAATTCAATAATTAAAATATAAAAAACAATATTATTCAAAGCGCGCGCGTCAGTACTCAATACGTCAATACTATACCAAACTATAATGGACGAAAAGGAATTAGACATGGTTAGTTTAAAATTTCTCGGCTTTGGCGACCCGGATAATCTATTAATAACGGGCGATGCTGAATATAATCAACTTTGTCACCAGTAAAACAAACCAAAAAAATAAACACTTATTGAAATTAAATAATAATTTAATATTTTCATTAGCATGCACAAAACAGACCAGACCGTGCTAATTAAAGAGCTACTAGATCGGTACGGCAAAAGCAAAAAGGCCGCGGACTTTATTAAAATCAGCCACAATAGTACCGAGGTGTTTAAGAAAATATGCCATGATTATAAGAACAAGGGCAAGGCCTTTTTAAATGCTTACAAAGAGATAAATGACAAAACTAGCGAGATGAAACCAGCGAGGGAACATTTGGTAAACGCCCTTGCTGAGGCGTCAAAACCGGGCACCAAGCATAAACTGGGCGATGTATTATGGTAACTATTATTTTAAACACCTATGCGTATTTATATCATGTATACTATGACAATTTTAGTTTTTTGAAAAAATGGATAGACATTAATGTCGGTAAATTCTGCGGTGAGGCGCAGAGGGCGCTGAAAGACAGGTTACAACTTCTACAGAACTATGTTAACTCTATGGGAAATACGGTGTCGGCAAATTGCGATTGGTCAAAAATACCCAAGCCCACAGAAAAACACCCAAAATCTATCCAGTTGTTAATGGCACAAGCTTTGGTTAATTTAGATAAATAATAGTCTGTAATATTAAATAAAATATTATTCTAAAATATAGTCCTGATGATTAATTGCAATTGTTAAATAATTTAAAAATGTTTTGTTCCAGCATTAATTTGTAGTCCAAATTATTCTTGATTAAAATTTTAAACTTTATTTAGTAATTTAATATAAAATTTTTATTAAAAATAGTTTGTTTGCAATGTTTTGAGCTTTGTAGTAAAATTACTATTAATATTATAAATTATGTAATAGCATAATTTTATCTAAATAAATTAAAAATGTTTAATATTTATAATAATGATTTATACACATGTTATAATGAAAATCACAAACTAATAATTATTTGCAATTTAAAAGTTCAATTTCAACAATTATATTTAATAATTTTGTTATAACCATAAACAAGATTTAAATAAAAGTACATGTACTAATTGATGTTACAAAAACTTAATATTTACCTACACAATTGAGGTCATAGGTAAGGGATGGCAACCTTAATTACAAATTCCCTTATATACAAAAGCAATTATAATCGTGTCTTATATAGTTTCTTATATCGATTTTACAAAGTACTATCATGTAAATATCATTTTTACTGTAGATTTGTTTACAACACCGATAGTAATAGTACTGTATTTCTTAAAAATCAAATATGTTTTATGTTAATAACAAGAAAAAATGTTGATAATACAAAAAATCTGTGTATTTTATGTTATTTTCAGTTAAATTTTTTATAAAACATTTTAAAATTATAGTTTATTAAACTAAATTTTAAGTTTATAAATTTACTTCATTGATTACAGTGACCGAAACAATAATTGAAAGCTGTTAAATTATTCTACTTGATCAATATCCAATTGATCATGGTGCTAATTACTCCGATAGCAATTGGCATATTAATTTTAATCATATACTTGATTGTGATTTATTTGATTAAACAAAACCGCATCAATAAAATGCTGACTAACATCCCGGGCCCGGCATCGAAATTACCATTAATTGGCAATTTGGATATGATCTGGAACAATTGCAATACTGAATACGCTGGTATGTCTAATAAATCTATGTTAATTATTATACGATATAAACATATTTAAATAATTGTCAAATTAAAGTTGTCGACTATGTAATAAAAGGCCTGGCTAAGTTATATAGAAAACATGGATTATATAAAATGACAATATTTAACCAGCACCTTGTTGTCATCTATAAACACAATTTTGCCAAGGTAATTAAATAAAAAGCTTTTTTA